TAAGCAATTAATTACTAAATTGACCGAATTTTAAAGATTTAAAAATATGACACGATATAGTGCAGAAGAATTAGAAACTAAATTTAAAGGATCAGCCTCGATAAGAATAAGCGAAAAGAAAAGCGGCAATAGTAAATATGCCGGTGATGCTGGCTATTGAGATGGTGGAAGATGCGATTATGGTGGAGCACATAATTTAAAGGAAGATTGCCAGAAATTATCTGAACTCTTTGCTAATATTACTGAGTTGAGAAATTGTCGCAGAGAGTTAACCACTTTTAACAATCAGGAAGAGTTTGAAAAGAACAAACGAGAGTTATTAGAAAAAGTTAACGAAGCCATTAATAATTTACAAATGAGAACTAGCGATAGTTCTTCGATTGGCGGAGTATGTATTATTTGAGCTGACTTTGAACATTTTGTTAGTCCGGTAGTTAACAATTTTCGTAAAGAAATTGAAATGCTTAGGAGCGATATTGAAAATGTTTCTTACAATGAAGCCAAAGAATTATTAAAGTTAAATGTTGAAGAAAGAAAACTGCAAAAAGAAATCGAAGAAAACGAAAGAAAAGCCCGCAACGAACCAGACGAGAATAAAAAAAAGCAATTTATCTTTTTAGCTGGTCAAGCCAAAGATAAATGAAAGAAACTCTTAGAAAGAAAAAAAGAACTAAAAACTGCTCGGCTCGGTGATAATTTTAACCCTGATCAACATATAGAGGACTTTTTAAAAGCTGTGGAGAATAAATTGAGTGGTAAAAATAGACCGCCAAGGACAACTAGAACTGCTAATCCTCAGCAACCAGCAACTGGTTTTGGTAATCCTAGTAGTTCTAATCCTAATCCTCAAAGCACTGCTTATGGAAATTATTCGCCAAATTCTAACAATAATAATCCGGAGCAAAAACCTTTCGCGGAAAAATATTGAAAAGAATTATTGTTAAGTGGGGCGGTTTTATTAGGAATTTATTACATTCTTAACCAAGAAGAATAACTTATGAAAAAGCAACAAAAACAGATAATCACCGTTATTGCCGTAGCAAGTTTAGCCTATTATTTTCTTATTTACCTACCCGAAGAAGAAAAAAAGGAGCAAGAAAGACAGAGATTAGCACAAGAAGAAGCACAACAACGAGAATTTGAAAGACAGCAAGCAGATTTAGATGCTGCTGAAAGAGAAAAGCAAAAAGAAACCGAAGTCTTAAAAAAATTAGAAAACATTAAAAAAAAGAAACTTCACTGAAGAAGAAATAGAGAAGTTAAAAGTTGAACAGATAACTGACTTTTAAGAAAAAAAGAATCCTTTGAAAAAACTTTGAATGAATTAGGCGGAGAAGAGAACATTAATATCTTTGATGTGGCAGCGGATTATACCATCCATTTTCCTCCTAATCTTTGAAATAACCTAACCGAAGAACAAAGAGCCTTAGCCACTAATAAAGGACACGGTCAATTA